TCTTTCCCTGAGGTAACTTACCATCACAATACGATATTCAAAATGGATAATCGTATCCATCATAAAGAATGTCATTACTTGGACCGAAAACATCAAGAGAATCAACTCATTGCATGATGGTTAAAGCTTCTTGCTGCCATTGATATCGTCATCACACTCTGTTTAATTAACAACAGTGTGTGACATTCGATCGAAACGTTTTGTGCAGATATTTATCAACATCGGTATTCTGCTCGGATATGTCTCAAACTATTTCTTTGCCAAACTTCCCGAGCATTTGGGATGGAGATTCATGTTGGGGATCGGAGCCGTCCCCGCTTTGTTTTTAGCCATCGGAGTCTTGGCAATGCCCGAGTCTCCTCGGTGGCTCGTCATGCAGGGCCGTCTTGGTGACGCCATGAAAGTCCTCGAGAAGACCTCCGATACCAATGACGAAGCCGTCTTGAGACTCGACGAAATCAAAACCGCTGTCGGGATCCCAGCAGAAATGAAGGGAGATGTCATAACGGTTCCGGACAAGAAGAGCCACGGAGAAGGTGTCTGGAGGGACCTCCTCATCAAGCCCACCCCAGCTGTTCGCCACATCCTCATCGCCTGTCTCGGCATCCACTTCTTCCAGCAAGCCTCCGGAATCGACGCCGTCGTTCTTTACTCTCCGACCATTTTCGCGAAAGCCGGTATAAAATCCAAGAACGATCAGCTTCTTGCGACCGTGGCAGTAGGGCTCGTCAAGACAGTGTTCATCGTGGTGGGGACATGCTTGGTCGACCGGTTCGGTCGCAGAATCTTGCTTTTGAGCAGTATGGGGGGTATGTTCTTGTCCTTAGCCGCACTAGGGTCGAGCCTCACGGTGATCAACCACAACGAGGGCTCGAACGTCGGGTGGGCAATCAAGCTTAGCGTGACGACCGTGATGACGTTCGTGGCTACGTTCTCACTCGGGGCAGGACCGGTGACATGGGTCTACTGTTCGGAGATCTTCCCGGTCAGGCTTAGGGCACAAGGCGCTGGCCTAGGAGTGATGTTGAACAGACTAATCAGCGGCACCATCGGGATGACTTTCCTCTCTCTCTCTCACGCCCTCACCATAGGAGGAGCGTTCTTGCTCTTCGCAGGCGTCGCCTTCGTGGCGTGGCTTTTCTTCTTCATTGTTTTGCCGGAGACTCAGGGAAAGCCTCTGGAGGAAATAGAGAAACTCTTCGGGAGCTACACCGCCAAGAAGAAGAATGACGATCGCAAGGAGAGTGATGGAAGGTGAAGAGACAAGTTCGTTTTCCTTCGAACAAGACATAAAGTCACATGTTGATAAAAGAGATGGGTTTTTGGCGAGGCACCTGAACGACCACTGAAAAATGTGCCCTAAAGCTTCCTTAGCGTGTGTGTATTACTTTTTTTTTTTCTTGTTGTTAAATAGCAAAGCTGATATATATATGGAATGAATACTAAAACTAATAAAAAAAATATTTAAAAATATTCAAAAACCAAATATATATATATATATATATATATATATTCTAAATCTCAATGAATTGGCTCGTTCTAACCCCAGCTCTATACAATATGGATAAGTAGAATCTCAAATACCTATCATTTTGATATTTAAAACTCGTTTCACCGGTTGAGCTACTCAACCGGTGAAACGAGTATGCAAATCATTTGTTCCGCCCGAGTTTGAGTCTCAAAATGAAAAGGCAAGTGTAATTTCAATCGCATGTTTTGCTTTCGATCCCAAAATTAGTTTGGATTTCGGCTCTGAATTATCCAAAAAAACCATAGATTTGCATTCGATTTTTTTCGAAACATGATGGCTTATCATGATACCCCGAATAGCAATCAAATTTATTAAATATTTTGTATTTTCTTTAAAATTATAAAAACCATGGTTTTCGTCAAATCGAATTTACTCTCTCCCCATTTCGAAAACTTTATTCTCTGCAGATTCATCGTTGATCTTGGTTTTTCATCGATTTCGAAATCCATTGATAATCTCTCTCAAAATTTCTATGTTTTCGTTGTTGATCTCATTCATCATCTGTTTCGAGGCGAATTGATTGCCAATTCTTTTGATATCTTATCTCTTCTCGCTTCTCTGAAATTTCGATTCGGGTTATGATAACAGATTTTTTTTTACGGAAATTCCAAAATCTCGGATTTGAATATCGGTGGATACCCGACCTTTAGTCTGGATATCGTGGATATTGAATCGCAGTTACCCGACCCTACAGTACTGAGACCGGGTTGGTACATTTATGTGTCCAAAGGAGACAAGGTTATTGTCAAATTTTTTCTATAGATTATAAGGTTTTATCAATGACATTCGACTATTAATTGACATCTTTAAGTCTTGTACGTTCAGATTAATTCTCGTTCACACCCAACACTTGGTGGCCCAATGGATGAGAGATGATAAAATCATCTTCAAAGTTTTAGGTTCGATTCCATTGGTGGAGATGGATATAATTTCTAGATCAAGATGGTTCATATACAAAGGTTTGTCTCGGACTTCGGGTGGAAGTAGTCGGATCGAAGATCTGGAAAACCATCCTGGTTATAAAAAAAAAATGTCGTAAATGAGTTCACTGAATGATAAAGGCTTAACCTTAAACATTGCTCATCGCAGAGTTCAAATTCCTGATTTCTAGTTAACATCTATGTCAATCCTTCAGTTTGGGTGACATCATGTCCGTCCCCAACGTTCTAAATCTTTATAAAAAATGAACCATTTATGAATAAAATATTTTCTATTAAATATCTTGTTAGAATAAATAATTTTTATAATGTAAGGATAATTTCAACAATTATGGAAACAATATAACATTTTCGTATGTTTCTCAAGCACAAAATCCTAAAAGCTAAGATATTTTCTATTAAATAATTTTGTTAGGTTAAATCATTTTTATAATTCAAGGATAATGTTTTTCTATGTTCCTCTCAATAACAAAATCCACTGAAGATAATTCCATATTTATAAGGAAAAAAATCAAACTTTTTCGGGGTTAGTATTTAATGTGTTATGATTTTCATAAATATCATTATCCCATATATATATAGGGGGTGAGATCCGGGCCGGGGGAAACTTGGTATTAAATTTCCTTTTATAATAAAGAGTATTTTACTGAATTTAGATTACAGAAATCCCAAGTGTGATAAATAATTGGTCCAGCGTATCAAAACGAATTGTAATATTAAGCAACAAAATCAAGCTTGAAATGGAAACTTACGTATACCCTCACCACGGTCAAATGTGATAAGGAAACTTACGTATATCCCATAATCATCAGATCCTATTTCTATACACTTTCCTTTTCATTGTTGAAATATATTGACTGAAAATATCTCTTATAGCAAAGCAAAGATGCAGAAAAAGGATTTATATACGTATATATATATATATATATGTGTGTGTGTGTGTGTCTTATCTCAAAAGATCATCAAATAGCTTATCTCTCTTATCCTCTATTAATCCTCGTTCCATAAACTAATCTTGACCACTGACAGAAGATGGCGTTCGATGGAGTGGAAACAGGCACGGTCACGTCTCAGAAACCAGACCGCAGCCGAAGACTATATGCCACCGCTTGTGCCGTCTTGGCCTCCATGTCTTCGATCGTTCTCGGTTACGGTCAGTCCTCCTTCTCTGTTTTCATATCAGCGATGTGTATATGTACATGTAAACTCTTCATAACTCTCGATACAATTGTTGTTTGGATGGTTTTAGATATCGGAGTGGTGAGTGGAGCTTCTATCTTCATAAAAGACGATCTGAAACTCTCGGATTTGCAGCTCGAAATCTTTATGGGAATCCTAAACGTATACTCCATCGTGGGTTCGGGTTTGGCCGGAAGAACGTCGGATTGGATCGGGAGAAGGTA